GTAGGAAACACAGTGCTACAGAGGAACCACGAAGAAAGACGGCCGGCAGCTGTGTTCGTGGTACAGTGTACTAGGTCGAGGTAAGGGCGGGACGCCAAACTGAGGTAGAAGGCTACCTGTGTATAGTCTCGTACGCAACCCAACCGATCACGTGGTCGCGCAGTTGCGCGCGCCTCCTGGCATAATGAGCGAGAAACATGATCCAACTAGCGCTTCAAGCGTTGCCGCTGCCGCCCTCGTCGTGTGGTACAGTCCGTAATCGGTGAGCAGAGAAAGTGCGCATTGGCAACTAGCCAATGGGGTTTCGAAAACAAAATGTAAGCAGAAAGATCGTTGCTCAACACACGAAAGCATTTAATATTCACTTTGTTTCTTCCCCCCTTTACTTTCGTCAAAGTGTTCAAACGAACGATAAAGAATAGGGAAACGGGTTGGAATCATCTATGGGCGAATTCTATCCTTTTCCTTTCTCGCTCAGCTCAGCGCTTAGTAATACGACCAGTGAACACTGCTCGCACGGCATTCTTCATTTGCGGGCTGATAAACGTGCCCCGGCACGCTGTGCTTAACAAAATGTGCACTGTAGAATTCCAACTGCTATTATTTTTTCTCTCTCTCTCTCTTCTACTAAAAATTTCTGCCTATAAAGGTTATGGTGCGATGAAAGAGAGAAAGAGAGAGAGAAAATATTTATTCTATAAGGGCTCGTGAGTGAAGGTGGGAGTGTGCCATATTTAAATGACAGCTCGTGCTTAAGGGTTTTTCCCGACACGTAAATTCTATTTATTCGCATTTTCTTCTAAATCTTCAAGTGCATGGGTTGGGGGGGAGGGGGGTACGAAGAGTATTAACTATCGTTCTCTGGGGTCTCCTAGAAAAAATGCGTAGAAGCCTGAACCGTATTTACGTAGGGGATGTCTGTAAACCACGAAGTACATGTCCATATGACGAAAACATTAGCAAATTATATTACTATACAACCGACTACCTTGCTCTCATAGGTGTTTGTTTTTTCATCACCACGTTTCACACACATAAGGTTCACATATCGCACGCACAAAAACAGGGGACAAATACAGGACGCACAAAGGTTCGTTATTACAACACTTTTGTTCGGCAGTGCAAAGCAGCAAAACAGGAAAAAAGTAAAGAGCGCAGTCAAGTGGTTGACAGTCACCAAGCAATCGCATGCTCACGGTGTGTCGCAAAACGCAGTTTTCCGCTGTTCCGCACAGAGAAACATACATTTCGAAGTTACGCTAAGAGCAAACGAAAACCACTTTGGCGGTCATTTCGAAATTCAGCCGGTATTTTCAGACTGCAGTTGGAAAGACTACAAATAGGTTCTTTCTTTTTAACTTTCCTTTGCTTCTTTGTCCGTAGTTTTCACTGTAACAAAGCAAAATGAGTCTTTTATTCATGCCTTTTTTTTTCATTCAGCCTTGCTAAGTAGGAAGACCACACAGATCACCTTCCTATTTATTTACATTTAACGAGGGATCCTATTTAGAGGAAGTAGACGAAGAACATTTAATGAAAAACTTGGGCTTAGTGCGTAAGTGTTGTGCTATGAACCTTTGTGTAGCCTTGTGTTTTGTTTTTTTTTTTGTAATAAGCAATGACGACTGTGGTTCAAGAGAAGAGGAGTAGCCGACCTCTCATCGGCACCAACCTCTCCTTGTAGACATTTATTTTTTTAAAAAGAAGCGTTTAGTTTGCAATTACGGCTCGTCACTCGCCGGCTACGACTGTCAATTCAGTGTTCGTTCTCACTATGCCTTTTCAGGGTAATTATTACCATAATTATTACCATTATTACCATACACATGGCTTACCATTACCACTACCATTACTATTACATTACCATTATTACCAAACATGGCTTACATCGCCATGTTTTTGAACCTTGCCTAATTGTTAGAGGTGCAGTTTGACCACCTGTGGTAGCTTAGGCGCTACGCAGTGTGCATTGATACAAGTTTGAGGTCACTGGGTCGATTACCGGCCTGAGTAGGGCCTTACCTTAATAGTGATAAAATAGGAAAAAGCGCGTGCGCTTGGATGTGGTGGTCAATATTAATCTAGCGTCCCCCTTTTCTGCGTGCGTTTTATTCTTATCACAGTTTTGGCCTATGAACTTCACGAAAATTTCCCGTAACATTCACCATTACAACATTGTTTTACGAGATGTTTATTTATTTACTTTTTTTGCTTAGCCACCTTGGTGACACGTCAAAGTGACGCAGCATGTTTCTGTAGCCACAGTTCTTCGACAGCTCTGAATGAATTGACTGTGGCAGCTACAAATATAGCAGCTATAGCTATGTTATTCCATGGCCCTCTGGTGAAGAATGAGGAAAACTGCGTCAAGCACACATGGTGGACAAAACACAAGGTGGGCAAAACACAAGGTGGGCCAAACACAAGGTGGGCAATACACAGGGTGGACAAACAAAAGGTTGACAAACAGAAAATGCTGCTGAAAAAAAAAAAACACTTACGAAGGTGAGACGGAGGAAAGGGAGCAGGAACGATCTGTTCCTTGCGTGACGTCACGGGGAAGCAGAGGTTGGATTGGGCACAGCATCTTGACCGATGCATCCCATAGGAGCGTGCGGCGGCCCAGCTATAGAGTTGCTTTCGGAGAGGTGGCGCTTGAGACACAGTAAACACAGTGCATGCCTTGACGTTGAACACATTCTTATAAAGCCACTATGTGAAGTTTCGGGAGGCAAAGGTATAGGCGAAGAGTTGAGTGCAGAGGTAACATGTCACGCGCCTTCAATGGCTGACGTCGACCGTAGACACCCGATTACTTTCTATGTGTGCTTCTATTTTTTTGTCCAATTTATACCACTTTTAGGACTCTTAATTTCGGCAATAACTCCCTATTTTCCATTGTCACGGAAAGTAGTCGGCAAGTCCTTCTAATACTGGGATCTTCTTATATACGCACCGTAGTCTATTACAGTTAATACACCAGAAGCCGAGGATACCCTTCAAAGATTCCCTTTTTTGTTTCCTTGCTTGTTTGTTTGTACTTGTAGCTCGTACAGTAGTGCTCCAAGGCTACAATGGCACAATATACACATCACATCATTATAATATCGCGTTTTTTCCTTGGCAAAAATATTCTGAGCTGCACCCACTACGTCCGCTACTTTTATATATATAAGTTTCCATGCTCGCTTGTTACCACAACTCTGTGTACAGTTTATACAGACTACTGGTTGGTGCTAACGAAGAAACATGACTTATTAATTGTATTCAAACGTAAACACAAAACTAAATTTGCAAGATTGTCTCGGTTCTTCCGGATAGACAGAAAAGAATAAATAAATAAATAAAAAAATAAACCAAACGAAGCGAGAAGGTCGAAAGATGTGTGACGTAACGATTCTGATACTGCTGTTTGGACGTGAAATTCGACTGAGTGACGTTTTTAGCTTCGTCCAAGCATGCAGCCGAGTAGCATTTTCGAATAGCTAGGGTTGTTGCACCACATTAGGTAATGGTAAACGAGCGCAAAAAGAAGTTACGCAGGCGTTCATTCCGTACACTTGTTTCCTCCGCTTTTTAGTTAAGCTGATGTAGGTGTACCGCTGATAGCGCTTCAGCGAAACAACAGCACTTTAGTGTTTTTGACTTCCTACCACGCTGTCCGAATTTCTCCTTCCAGTGTGTCTTACAATGGCTGAAAAGCTTTTGCAGCCCATCATACTTCTATATAGTTTTTTTTTCTTGTGCCACTTATCGCTTAAACTAAATGCAAGCATGAAGGTGCACGAAATGTAAGGTGCTGCGTAAGCGTGCAGTGCGTGCACGGTGCAGTGCGAGTGCAATGTCATGCAGAGAGGCGAATACTGAAGGCACTAAAAGACGAGAGGGCTAATCCGCAAAGATTTTTTTCTCGTTAGCGCTTATTGAGATCAGTATACAGGTATACATACAGAAGGGGCCACTCTTGGGCTTGGGAAGATCGGGAAGATTCATAATTGACGAGAGTCGCACTCCAGAGTCGCCCGTTCCTAAAAGAATTCGTGCATTATCTTATAGGCCCATCAGAGTAACAGGTTAGCCTGATAAAGATCACTTCAAATTTAACGCTGATTACAGAGATCTTCCCAATACCGATGCTTTCCACGTCGAACTTAGATTAATTTCGTGGCTAACCGTTCCCGACCGGTAGCGCGCGATAACTGACGTCATTGCGGGTGGCACGAATCAACGCGATGTCGGAAGTGCACATGCTTAATGTATACGACAATGTGTTCTTTTTTTTTCTCCGCAGCTATAGATAAAACCAGCTAGCAGAAACAGCGCTGTGCCACTTGTCCTGTTAATTGAGCCAACGGCAGTACCGAGGCTTGATTGCTTAATGCTTATCGGGGCAGCCCGCCTTCAGTACCACTGATTTCTCCGTATTCGAGAGGAAGCAGCTGCAGAATGCAGCCTGCACAAAGCTGCGCAAACCAGCGCTTTGAGTTTCAGAAGACCGCTTAAGTCCGTTATCAAATTGTAATCTGGTTTTAAATAAATTTGCACAGGGCACCTAATGTTTTCTCGAAGTTGCGGTAGCAATTTATTCTTTGGGGGAGGTGATGCAGAAAAAAAAACACGTGTATGAAACCAGACATCAATTTTTTTTTAGGACCTGCAGGCGGGCGTATGGCGACGGTCTACATCCTTTCTCCTTCAAGTTTCTCTGAACCGGTCGAAGCATTTCATTCTGCAACAGCTTTAGAAATAGTTGTCCGTAGTACCACCGCGAGCTTTTCCCTTGCGCTCTTTTCAAGTTCACAGTTACACCACCTCGCTATTCAGGGTGCTCGTGTGACCTGCAGGCAGCACGAACGAAATTCGAGTTAAAACACAACAGTCAAAAAGCGCACGGACCCGGCCTCCAGTGTGCAGCCATAGAACAACCGTTCACGATTACTCCGTCCCAGCTGCGATTGAAAGTAAGCCTCGCGACGGCTATAGCGCGTAGACCAACTCACGTCTTGAGCGCGACGAGCGTGTAGAAGACCTTGGGCATGATGAGCAGCGGCTTGTCCCTGAGCACGGCCTCAATGGTCTCGTCGGCCACGTACTCGGGCCTCAGGAAGCCGAACACGCCCGGTTCCACCCCGGCGAACATGCCCGTGTTGATGAAGAAGGGGCAGACGGTGGTGAATCGGATGCCCGTGTATCCCTCGGTGGCCATCTCCATGGCCAGCGACTCCTGGAAGCCCACCGCGGCGAACTTGGAGCCGCAGTAGTCCGTCAGCCGGCACACGCCGCCCAGTCCGGCCAGCGAGGCGATGGACACGATGTGGCCGTGGTTGGCTGCCATCATGTCCGGAAGGAAGGCCTTCACAACCTGCGCACACGAGAGAGCCAACATGGCTCGCTGTTAGACTACATACACGAAGCAAACGTGTGTGTGTGTTTATGCCTAGCACTATGCCTAAGAGCAGGCATTCTATATAACAAGTGAGATTGTAAGAGGGAAGGTAACAGCCTGTCGGATAAATATATTAATTGATTGATTTATTCGCGAATTCGCAGTGCATAGCAAACGATCTCCTTAGTTGATCCGAGGTTCGCCTTGCAGTAACAACAGTATAAGATTAAGCAGCCCGTTTAGGTGACCACTCATCAACAATTATGTCGCATGACGTATGCCTCATAGCGAAAGTATAGTGGCAGACGTGCAGATCGAAACATATTTCCCAACAACGTTGTAAGCAAGGTAATAATTGTTAAAACAAAACTAAACAAAACAGACATTATCACGCCTAACGATCCAGACTGTTTCGTTATTACGCATAACATGGGTCTGTAATTGATTGATATGTGGGGTTTAACGTCCCAAAACCACCATATATGATTATGAGAGACGCAACACGTGTCTGTAGACGGCAAAATAAGGCGCGTATACCTAATCGTATAACGGTGATGTTCCACCGCATAATCAAGGCGAGGGAAACTTCGCGACGAACTCTGCGACGCTCACTTCGATTCAGACTTTTCATGTTCAGTGGCACAACGTGCACTTGCCCGGCTAACATGCCGAAAAGACGCGTTCCCGGCAAGCTCGTAAGTCATGTCCCATCTATTACGTACGCGGTAGTCCCCATAAACGCACGCGTAGCCAACAGAACAAATCTCAACCATTTTGCCACAGCAGCGGGGCAAATCGTGTGGTGAAATATTGAAAAAAAAAACACGTCAAATGGCAAACTTTCCTGTGCGTGTGAGTCAGCACAGCATTCCTTACAGCGAATTCCAGGTACGATGCACGGCTGCGAAGCCTCAGGGCACAACCATCGCGTTAAGCAAGTGAATGAGACGTCATTCTAAATGTATAAGAAACCACTTCAGTATGAAACAAACTGTTAAAAATGTAGTGAATAAGAAAGACGTTGATACCATCAGGTCAGCTATGATCAACACAAGAAAAAGGCACGAGATCGGCGATCAAGCACCGTCATCTAAGTTCGCCTGCGTTCCTTTAGAGCTACCACCCGCTTGCTCAGTCCTTCAACAAACCCCCTTTACAATTGGTGGAGGTGCTGGGTATCGATCCCAGTACCTCTCCTTCAATAAGCCCCCTTTACAAAAAGAACATCTTCGGAAACGCGAAGGACAAGTGCTAGTAATTATGTTAATGGCACCAGGAGAATTAGTGATGCAGATGGGACTAAGGCAGTAAAATGAAAGTTTGTTACTCTGTACCCCAGTTGGCAATAAATATGACCGTAGGTATATAGTCGACGGTTATCTGCGTATAATTGCCTCTAGTACAACAAGGCTGTTCGTACTAGCAGAAAAAAAAAGAAGCGCTGTATGCTTGTGCTTACACAAAGGATAAAAACAGGTTTTCTGCAGCACCCCTTCGATCTGAGAGATGTGCGTCGATGTTGCCACTCTACGCGTTTCTGTTTTACCTCCATCATGTAACACTTCGACAGGGGCCGAAGTATTACATAAGGCAGGGATTATCAAAGCTTCAGGCCGTAGGGAACCTCTATTTCGATTGCAGAGTGTCGTGGACCCCCTAACTTTTTAAATGTAATTTTAGCGCAAGGAAAATCGAAATGAATCCACCATGGTGGATCAGTGGCAAAGGTGCTAGGCTGCTGAACCGAAGGTCGGGGGTTCCATCCTGGCTGCAGCTGTCGAATATAGGTGGAGCCGAAATGAATGTACTGTGCAATGTCAGTGCACACAAATAACCCGCAGGCGGTCGAAATTTACGGAGCCCTCTACTACGGCGTTTCTCATAATCACATCGTGGTTTTGGGATGTAAAACCCCAGATATTAATATCAACTCGGAATGAGCCGCGGGATGGAATGGAGATGAAATGCCAGAGGCCCATGTAATGTGCGATGCCAGTGCACGTTAAAGAAACACCAAAGGGAGAAAATTCCTCCGTTAAACCTCGCAAGTTTTCTTGTCGAAGCGAGAGCGCGTTCCACTCGTGGTCACCACTTGCGTACCCGCAAAAATGCCCTTCACAGAACCCACGGGTTCCGCGGAGCCCAGTTCGAGAACCCCGTGACGTATAGGTATACAATATTACACACCTTGGCGGTCAAAGTATTACATAAAAATAAATGATGAATATCAAGTAGAGGAGAACGCATGCTGTAACATGGCGTCTTTTAAACGATAATCGTGCATAAATTATTTAATACAGTAACGTTTCAGTCATGGGAGTCGGCAGAACTTTGTCTTAGGCGTTGGGGGAGGGGCGAGCGCTGGCTCAACTTGAGTTCAATGAGTTGGGTAAAGTGCCGGTGCGTCTTGAGGGGTGCGCTGACGCCGATGGTTTCAGTGAGTAGAAAATCAAAAAGGAGTTACTACATTATTATTATTATTATTATTATTATTATTATTATTATTATTATTATTATTATTATTATTGCAACACCATGACAGTGGTGAACCCATACACACTGTGCTCATTCATGCATTATAAGCCATATAGTGTATATTTATTTATTTATTTGTTTGTTTATTTATTTATTTTTGTTACACTGAATCGCCAAAGCATCACAGAGGAGCGGGATACAACATAGAAAATACAAAACAGCAAAACAAAACGTGCTAGATATGAACAAGAGGCTAAAGCAAAATAACATATCTATTCAGAGAAACGAAACAAAAGTGAAACGTGAAAAAAGAAAATAATAACAAGAGAACCACAAATACAAAATAGTAAATGTGGTAAAGATATACAGTACTAGCAAAAAAAATGTAAAATAAAAGAAGTGACAGAAATAAAAAAATCAAGAGCCTGCTGGAAAACGGCGGCATCTTGACACGTGTAGAGAGTAAGTCGTGTGGAGGGGAAATAGATGAGGTGATTAGGGAGAGCTATCGGGAGGTACGTGAGCTGATAAAGAATGAGTAAAGAGAGAGTGATCAGAGATGGAAACGATGTCACCTGGTATACGACTCCAATCGTTCGATGTGACCGCTACGAAGGAGTAAGAAAATGTGTTTGTGTAGCAGAAAGTACCTTTAACATTATTTTTGCGGTCAATGCGACAGGAAATTATATGTGGGAGACATAATGAGCTCACTACGCAGTACTTGGTGATGGTAGGTCTTGAGGCAAAGGCAAAGGCGGAAGTACTTCCGACGTAGTGATAAAGGTGGCAGTGACAAATGGTGTTTCATTGCTGCCAGTTACGCTTGATTTACGGTGATAATTCGATAGAATAAAACGTGCGGCGTTATTTTGAACTTGCTCAAGATACGTGCACAGGTTTTCGTGGTGAGGGTTCCATATTGCAGCAATACTCCAATTTCGAGCGCACAAGGGTTTTATAAATAAGCATCTTGAGGGAACGGGGGGCTTTGCTAAAATTGCGACGTATGTATCGCAATGTACGGTTAGCATTGTGTAGTATGTACTTACATAGTGCCTCTGATTACCTTTCTTATTCTTAATTTTTTTTTGTTTTCGCGTTTAGCTGGTACATTACTCTCATATGTTGAGATAGCCGGCTCTAACGTAGCCTACCTATCCCATATGTTCCCAAATATAAATAAAAGCTTGGTGAACTGAGAGAACAGTGATATGTAATAGTATAGAAAATAAGGAGTCGGACAGCGACCAAGTAACAACCACCGGCAAGGTAATTAAGTCGATCCTACATCTAGTACACGACTGAACACGTAGTTAACACTCTACAGTGACCATTTGCACATGTGTCGCTGAAGTATACCGCCGTCTGCGGTGCACGGCGAGGACCGCAGAAGGGTGTGACAGTAATGCACGGACACAGGCTAAAGTGCACCGATTCTTGGCGGTCTGTGTGTTGCAGGGTACACGCTAATACACAGTGGCAAGCCGAACGTTTCGGCACACTTCCCTCCAGGAGTCGGGGGCGTCTTTCTTCCTCCCGTGAAACCGTCTAATAACGATGCGCCCACGAGTGAACGCTTCGGCGCCAACGATTTCGCCAAGGTAAGACGGAGGCGGAATACGCAAGTCTCTTATACGTTTTTCCTGCATCCCGCGTGGATTTAGGAATAAAAAAGAAAGGACAAGAAGTCAAGAAATAGACACAAAAACAACGCCGAGGTACTAAGAGGTATACGAGTGAGGTGAAGAGGCAAGGAAGCTATGCCAAGGTAGGTGGCACAAAAACAAAACCAATGGCTGTTCATGTGAGCCTCGGCGCGTGCCATGCACCGAAGTGGCATGCCGTGGACCGATACCTGCTCGAAAGCAAATAGGGAACACTCAACGAGGCGGCTTGTCATAAATTCATATAGGAGGGGGACAAAGAGCGGCGGCACGCTCGCTGCGTTTCATGTTTTTGCACTTTGTTTCCGCTGTCGCTAATTTATATTCTCGTCCGGGCATGTCGGATACGTACTCGTGTTTCGCTCTGCCTCGTTTAGTCGAGCTGAGTCACTGCCTAATTATGCGTGAGCAGTAGCGCGACGTACGAGAGAGAAGCGGAAACGAGTCAGCTGCCGAGCGTGCGCGTTCGAAACGAGCAGAACGTGGTGGCGAAAGGAGCAAATGTTTTATGCATGATGCGGATCGTATACGCTAGTTAGGCCAGCTATGCTCCTCGTGCCTCCTCTCGTTGTGCCGGTATAGTGGTAAGCTATTGCAACAGTGCGCCAAGGAAAGAACTTTCAAACGTATTCGATTGACTTCTGATTCGCCCATGGTCGGAGGCAAGGGTCTTACGAAACTGACCGAGACCTTCCTTGGCATTGAATGCTTTGAGCGTGCTTTTGCGTTTCCTGCAACTGCAACTGAGACTGGTGAAGGGAGCGATTGGCCCTAGCAGCGTCGTTTATCGTATGTTGCTATCTTTTTCTTTTTCTTCTTTCTTTTTGTAACACC